CGTTCGGGCGGGGAAAATAAGGACGAAGTTACAGCCGCATTTGTAGTTTATCAATAACTTCGTTGCTCGCTTCGTCTGCGGATGCTTCCACGGAGATTGAATTATCGATATATATATATATATATATATCGTCGCCGACAAGAGAGATGCCACGCGTCCTCTTCTCAATATATAAAGTGGCTTTATCGGCAGATAAATATTATTAGCCGGTAAGCGTGCTCGATATTCGATATTTCATCGTGCGCCCGCGCGCGCGCTTCCGTACGTTCTCTCGGATAATCCTCGATCGAAGCGATACCGTCTTTCGCGCGCGCGTGAGATCGCAGACTGTAAAATCCGTCCGTAAAAGAAAGAAAGAGAAAGAGAGACGCCGCGCGCAAATATCATGATTTTCGAAAATTTCCGTGCTCCCCCTACCCTCCTATGATCCCTTTGTTTCGCGTCGGGCAAAGAAAGCTAAGCGTTTATCGCCTAAAATTCCGGATTCGCTTACTCGGAGTAAAAAATAGTAGGGGGAGAGAGAGAGAAAGAGAGAGAGAGAGAGAGAGAGAGAAATAGGGGGAGATGGTACGACGTTAGCCTTCTTTATTATTCGAAAATTCCAGCGTGTGGGCGGCACGTGCGCGCCCGACCGACCGACCGTGTTAAATTTCATCGGCGTATCTCGCCCGGGGGGCGAGAGAGCGGGGTCGTCGGCTGAATAAAACACGGGGGGATGAAAAATAAAGGCGAAGCCGAGTAAGCCCACATGAGTGGAGTCGCGCGCGCGCGAAAAGGAACGACTTATTCTCACTGAAAGATGCCTCGCCTAACGGCAGCGGCCGTTGTGCAGCTCGTCGGATAAATCCTTTTTTTTCTCTCCTTACTCCTCCGCGCTTGTCTACTTCTGCTATTCGCCGCCTGCCGCTATCGTCGTCGCGCAATCCTGCCGGCGTTAAGAAAGGGCCGAGAATATAGGTCCCGCACCTCCCCTCCCTTTCTGCGCGAGGTACCATTCAGTAGGGTAATTTATTCCAGTTTCATGGATACCCTTTCGCGCGACTCCCTTCGCCGCCCTCCTCTGCCGCCGCCACGTCACCTTTCACTCGCGCCGTTCTTCGTCAGGGGCTGCTCTACACCCGTTAATCCAAGAGAGAGTTTCTCTTTACTCTTTCTCTCGCCATTTCCGTCCCCAGTTCCCAAACCCCTTCGCCCTTTTCCTTTTCCCACCCTCGCGCGTGTGCCTCCTAATTTATCTCGTCAACCTTTCGTTTCATCCATTTACGGATTTCTCTCGCGCCGCGCGAGTAACTTGTTGCACAGTTGCACGATTGATATTGTGAATCCCGCGTTACGCTCGGCGACGCATTAAAGAGGATTCTCCAAAGGAATACGCCGGTAGAGAGAGAGAGAGAGAGACTGAGGACGATCCTCCGGCGCGAAACCATTTCTGCCGGCGCGCCCCCGCGTCGGTGCGGGGAGAATGAAGAAGAAAAAAAGGAAAAGAAAATAAGAGAAAGGGAAGAAAAAAGAGGAGAAGAAAGGAAGAAAAGGCGGAAAACAAGAAGGAGGAGAATAAAATACGAGTCTCTTCTCCAGCCAATTTAGAGAGCGCGCAAAGCTGAACCGATTCCGGCGGCGGCCGGTAGGCGCGCGCGATAACTCTCGGCTCCGCAATATCGACCGGGGGCTCTCTACGTGCCATCCCGGGGAGAATAATATTGAAATCACGGGGCTTGTGCACGTCGTCGTCATCGGCGTCGAGGTCGCCGCCGCCGTCGCCTCCGTCGTCGCCGCCGCCGCCGCAAGTAGGCCAGCTCGAAATAGAAACCGTCAACTGGGGCAGTCAATGCCCAACGTGTAAGACGCATTCGTCGCGGCATGTTCGCGACTTTTCGCCGTAACGGTCACGCCTGTATCCCACCGTGGTCCCTCCTTCCGTTTCCGTTCTCACCTCTTCTCCTCTCTCCCCGTCGGGAGAGGGGTGGAGGGTTGATGTGTGGAAGGACCGCCGTCGTCTGCCAAGCACGGAGTATCGTCGCCAAACACAGCGATCTCCGTCCTCGAAGCGTGATTTTCCGCCGCATCGGGTGAACGTCTCTCTCTCTCTCTCTCTCTCTGTCTGTCCGTCCGTCTTTCTGGTCGCTGACTGCGGGATTTATGCGGGACGGGACTTTCGATTCCATCGACCGGTCGCGCGCTCCACCTCGCTTTTACTACGTGCTCCGCGAGCCGCGTGTTCTACGTCCATCGTTATCGTAGAATTCCTCCCGAACGGATATAATACCCGATACGACGAGCGGATCGACAACGACGGCAACGGCGATGCGACGATCTAATCAATTCGCGCTGCGTCTCGCCGGAATTCCGTTTAGAGATCAATATCGTCTCGTCATATCCTCCCTCTATTTATCTACCTATCTATCTATCTATATATATCTCTCTTTCTCGGACAGTTATTTTCTTAGTTTTTATGCGATTTTCGAGGTATGTATGCCTCAACTTTAATGGTTTTCAGGCGATTTTGTTCGCGCCCCGATCAAAATTGCGCCCGGAAGTAATCTTTTTTATACTCCACTTTTTCCTTGGGAGAGGGAGTATATCGGGGGTGGGAATATATCGGCTTTGAGTGAGTTTCCGTGGGAGCGGGTGATCTGCAGTTAACGCACCTCCGAATCATTCGGTAATGAACATCGTTGGTGCGCCGCATTCTTGTTGTTAAACAACGCACGAAGAGCGGTAATGGAAACGGAATGCGAAATGAAGTTCGCGCGCCGGCCGCTCCCTCGGCGATTGAAGAACTAATTATATTCGTGCCGCTGCCCTTCCGCGTTCCCCATACCCGTGCGCGCATATAGACGGCTTTATCGCCCGGATCTTCCGCGCGTCGTTGTAGGGGTTAAATGTCTTGAAGCGAATGCATTAATACGGGCGATAACGCAGCGGATTTTAATGCAGGACGTTTACACGGACCGTTTTAGCTCGGCGGGCCCGGCTCGGAATATATACGTGCTTACCGGCAGTTTAGCATCCGGCTTAACAGGACGTAATTTTCCGCAATGGCGGCGTAATGAGGCGTATATAAAACGGCACTAACCCTGTACGGCCCCCGCGCTCGTACGCGTACGTTTTCTTTATGATGCGGCTAAAAATAAATAATACAACTCTCTCGGTCCCCTCGTAACCTAAATTTTTATTAGGGGCGGCTCGGTAGTGAAACGCCGCCGCTGTCGACGCGAAAGAAATCCGAAATTGCGCTTTACACGGGAGCGACTTGAAGGAAGACGAGTATTAATATACGTTCAAGTTACCGCCGAATCGTGAGAGAATAAGAACGACGTCATTAATTGACTTTCTCCGATTTTGCATGCCGTTCCGGCGAGGGCTTCCTTGCGAAGCTCGATCAATTACGCTTTGCATCTGCATGTGCATCCTTTATTTCTTAATGCGCTGGTAATGTATGTGTACGCTCGTAGTCTTCTTTTTTCTATCCCTTCGAAGTGCCGATGATCTCAATTAACGTACGTTCGACTGCCAACGTACGATCACGTTAACAGTGGTTCGCAGCGCACGTGTGACATGCGTACGCGAAACATTAACTTCCAATGAATATTTCAGAGGCTGGTATTCTCTCTAAAGGCGCACTATGTATATATATATATCTTAATTAATGTCATTCACGCCTCCTAATCTCTTCTGAAAGTTAAAAGCACAGATTGCACTACCTGCCCAATCTCTCTCTCTTATCGCACTATCGAGAGAGCGCGCTCACACTCGCGGAGCAATGTCTACCGACTTTATAATTGTTCTCGCACACCTTCTTCCGCACACCTTCTCTTCCTCCGGATATATTCGTCGGAAGCACCTGCAGACTCGCGTGCCACGTCACGTCGCATTTAATACACCCACGAGATCCCGTGCATCTTTCCGTGGTTAAGCTTCGACACTTCGAGCCGCCTTCCGCCCGTTCATTCTTCCCCGCGCACATCTCCCGTATCTCCGCGCGCTCCACGCATACGAATAATCCACCAGGCTGTCTCCCAATATTCCCGTTATTACCTCATCGCCGAGCCCGCGGCAATACAATGCATCCGGCATGCATGCGTCGAACGTATCTAGCATCTCATACCTGTACGACGTCGTCCACACGTACAACCACGTTGAGACACCTCGTACCGTACTCTCTTTTTCTTTTCTTTTTTTTTTTGTTTTTTGACGCACGAGAGCGTACGTTTCCTTTTTTCTCTTTCTTCACAGCGACGGGCTGCGAAAATTCAAGAACGTCCGCGGAGCCTCGCAGCCGCGGACGTTCTTTCGTGGCCCTTGTGGAGACGTCACTCTGGTCGACTCTTCGTCTCGTCCACGCCTTGCCTTCCTCGCGCGAAAACAAACGACCTACGGGCGTGTGCGGGTATATAACGCCCCTAGGTCGTTCTGTTCCTCAGACACTTGCTGCATCCCTTGTCTCATCATTTATCATCTCATGATTCACGGCCGGTGCGAGTGGATAACGAGATTTGATCGCGCGTCCACGAAGGAGCCCGCCTGAATAATGAAGCGCGTCTCGAGCCGGCTCGCTAAGCGGGATTAAAGCTTAATTTCGTTCATCCTGCAAAAATAACGAAGTCGTCGGGGGGGGAGAT